CGTCATTCCACCTCACCCACCAGCCAATCCTACTATTCAACCACCATCTATTATCCCAAAACCCATATTCCCGTCCGCGTCGGATCGACCTGCTCGCCTCTGCAATCCAGGAAACGCCTGCACCTGCACTCGCCTGTCCCCGTCCTCGATACCCTGTTAGACCTCACCACCACCACTACCACCACCAGATACTACTGAGACAGTGACGAGACGGATTGACTACTTTAGTAATCGTCGTCACTGCAAAATATCGCCCGCCGCCCTCACGGTCGAAAGGTCTCACTCCGTCACGAATCCCCGTCTATCACCGCTACGGCCCCCAGATCCTTACCTGACATCCTTTGCACTACTGTTCCTACTATTACCACCAACTCCGTCATCCTTTTTCGTCGCCGCTGCCGCCCCTGTGCCTGCTCCCGCGACAACTCGAACGACCAATACACGCCGGCTTTCCGCATAATTACAGGCTAGCTTTTCTTGCAGTACTGCTTCTGAAGAATTGCTTGCGCCGCCGCTCACTGTGTTGCATTAGTCTTCCGGTGACCAATTTCTTCCATTTTCTTTTTCTTTCTTTTCTCTCGTTCGTCGAGTTTTTGGTTTCCGACTTCTCCATGGATACCAACCTATGGAGTCGCCGTACCAAGTGAGTGTCAAGTCTTTGCCCTTTACCCCAGCACTTCGCCTCTACCTACCCCCCCTTGCCCCACCGCGAGGTCGATCACACATGGCTATGAACGGCAACCAAGTCAACACATTCCGAACCGCTGACTGACACACCCTCGTTTGCTCCATAGCTCGAGCAAGCTCTCATTGACAACACCTGGATCCGGCGGCCAGGTCGATAATTCGTCTTCACGCACATTTTCCAAGCGATTCGGCGGTGATAGCTCGTCGCACGGAAAGACCAACCCCTTCAACTCTATAACTACCCCAGGCGGGCTGGTGTCGCCCACGGCCGGCGCTTCGAGCGCTTTTGGCCTCGGGTCTGGCGCGTTCGCCTCGTTCGGTTCGGCCAAGACTCCCAAGACTACCGGCAACCCGTTCGAGACCACCCTCATCGGTCATTCCGCGAAGACACCCTCTGCTGAGAAATCTAGCAAGGAGGGCGGCCTGGGCGGTAAGACCGTTGGGAAGACTGCCTCCAACGCCTCTCTTGCCGATGCCAACAAGAGGGCCCAGGGCGCAGTGTCCAACTCCCCGAGTTCGGGCCTAAATCACCAGCTGCGTAACAGCTGGGTCTTCTGGTATCGGCCCCCCATCTCGAAGGCTAACGGCTTCATCGAGTACGAGAAGACTCTGCACCCTATCGCCACCTGCGAGACGGCTGAGCAGTTCTTCGCTGTCTACCAGCACCTCAAGCGCCCCTCGGGTCTGCCGCTGGTGTCCGACTATCACCTGTTCAAGAAAGGAATTCGGCCAATATGGGAGGACGAAGAGAACAAGAACGGAGGAAAGTGGATTGTGCGCCTGCGGAAGGGTGTTGCCGATCGCTACTGGGAGGACATTCTGCTGGCTCTGATCGGTGATCAGTTTGGCGACGCCAGCGACGATGTTTGCGGCATTGTTCTCAGTGTTCGGAATGGCGAGGATATTCTCAGCATCTGGGCTCGGGCTAATGGCCAGCGGGTCCTGAAGATTCGGTATGTTTTCACTCACTTGCCCGGATAGCCACTCTGGAGATCTCGAGCTGACTTTGGCTAAACAGTGAAACCATGCGCCGGACCCTCTCATTCCCCTCCGAGACCAAGGTTGAATGGAAGAGTCACGACTCAAGCATTCAGCAGCGCACTGCCATTGAGGAGTCGCGTCGCGAGAAGGCGAACAACCGCGACCATAACCAGGGCGATAAGCGGACCACCAACAGACAGCAGCAGCAGACGGATAGCCGCCCGTAGCATCTGAACACCTAGGCGAGGTTCCACGTGACGCATATTCCGTCAGTTTTCCACCGTGCGGTGATTCGCACCATCTACAATGCTGAAGGCAATAACGTTACAGGACGTGTTAAGCGCGCGTCGGACATAGAGCGTTTTGAAATCAAGCGCTACCTCTGTACCCCTCGTACTTCTTTAAAGTAAGACATATGTACAGTATCCAAAAGAAAAAGCAGCAGCAAGCATGCGTTACTGAGTTTTGGGCAACCCTTTTTGGTAGAAGCGGAAAAGAGGTGGTCTTGGGATTGGGAACGGATGTTTTCCTCTTCCTCTTCCTGCGCCTTCTTTCACTTGCACTTCATTTACCCGCACGGCGTATCATTTTGATGGGATCATGGCGGGTTTGGAACGGGGTTAAAGGCCGGATGGATGAACGGACGGGACGGCTGGATCAAATGGGATGGAATCTTGACGTGGATCAGGCGGAGCGAAATATATAACCTGTGCATGCATGCATGCTTGCTGGCATGGTCCATTGTTCTTTGAGCGTGCGAAACTGTAAGGGGGTGAAGCAGGGGGGTATGTCAGATATCTCGTTGAACGGTTGATCCCAAGTGTTGGACGTCAGAAAATCTCTATCATGGTGTCTTGACTTTGCGTATGGACATGCCTTTTCATTCGTACGGGCCTCCATTAACACTGTTCATTAGGACCCCCTTGCTCAATCATCAAGTGTCCTCCTTTCGACCTCTTCCTACCCACTCGCACTCGCATGATTCGATCCTCACGCCTTCCCCTTCCCCTTGCCCGGAGGAGGTTCCCTCCTCCTCTCCCAAATCTGCAAATAACTCTCGCTCAAGTACAACAACTCGCTCCGCACCTTGTCCACAAACAAATCCTGCGCCACCACCCACTCATCCGTCGCCTTATCCCGCAATTGCACTTTCCACGTCTTCCTCTCCTCCCCCACACTATCCGCCACGTCCTCCTTGTTCCTAACCGCCTCGTGCACCACGTTGGCCACCAAATCATACCAGATCGGCTCCCCGTGTTGATGCGATTTCGGATCCGGCTCCACGTAAGGGCTGACATCCAGGTTGCGCGCGTCAAAAGTTACAATCGTAGGGTTCCTTTCTGAGACAAACTTGTTCTTGCTGAACCTTTTGATGTGGAATACCAGAAAGGGGGGCAGGGGGTGTTGAAGTCGGTACCGCTTGCGCTGCGCGTTGAGTTCTTGGGCGGTTACGCCGTTGTACTTTGCTAGGATCGTGGTTAGGGGCACTTGGGGGATGATGTTGCGTTCTTGTTCGTCTTGGAACAGCGGGGCCGGCGGTAAGTCGAGGGTGAGAAGCAAGAAGCGGGAGACGGACGACTGTACGTCCGCGGCTTCTTCGAAGCGTAGTCGGTCGTGTACTTGGTCGGCGCGCGCGGTGATGGCTTGCGATTCGACTTTGAGTTTTCCTTGGAAGATGTGCTGGATGACAGAGGAGTGGGGTTTGGTTTTGGAGCCGCCGAGCCCCAGGTGGAGGTGGTTGAGGAACCAGGAGAGGAACTCGACCGGGTCGGATTGTTGCGTTAGGGTGAATTTCTTGTTGGAGCGGAGGGAGATTTCCTGCAGCAGTTCGTGAGGCGAGACGTGTGATTTGAAGGCGCGCGGGTTCCAGATTTTGCGGAAGAGGATGGAAGTACGCTTGACTAGTTCGGGCGCGTTGGAGAAGTCTTCGAGGAGAAAAAAGTTGCGGAGGGTGGAGACGTGCGATAGAGCTTGTACGATCACGTTCAGGTAGTCGTTTTCTTTAATGTTGTTCATGCCCACGAACCCCGGCACGTATTCTTTGCCTAGAAGCGTGCGCGACACGTGCGGCTTGCGGTCCAGGTCGAGAACCTCCTGGCGCGTGTAGCGCGGGTCCGAGACGTATTTGATGTCGTCGAGAGACTTGGATTTGACTTCGTAGCCCTCCGGCAGTACGTAGACCTTTTGGGTGCTCATGTTGATGTATACGTGGTGGCCCTCGTCGAGCGCGTGAAAGTAGGCGTGCGACTTGGGACCCCGACCCTGGAAGTACTTGCCGCATACGAGGCAGGCGTAAACGTTGATGTTTGAAAGACTGATGGAACATAGCTTCTCGAAGTCGAAGTCGAGAACGTTGCGGTCGATTGTGTCGAGGTAGAGATCGTCGTAGCCTTCTGTTGGGGCGGCTTGTCGAATTGGCGCCTTCACCACAACCTCCTCGCCAGCCTCCTCCAGGTCGTCATCCTCCTCGTCGTTGCTGTTGTTTTCGCCATTGGTCTGTTCCGCCTTCTCCTCGTTTGACCCTTCCCGTATTTCGGCACCATTCGCGGTCGCGCTTGCTGGAGTGAGACTTTTGTCGTAATCATCGATCCTTGACTTCTTTGAAGACGGCGAGAGGCCCTCCACGGCGTCGAAGGCCTCTTCCGCTGGGCGTTTGAGGTTCGACATTGTGAACGGTTGATGATGGTTAAGTTGAGGGTGACTACCACTCGTAGCGGAATGTATTTCGCCTCGCCGTGCTGCCGTCGGATGCGGGATGAGTGGGCCTAATAGTACTGTTGGATGTTTCAAGTGTGGTGTACAGCCAGAATTTTGGGAAAGTTTCGAGGTCAAGTTGATCAATGGCACGACACCGTCAACACGAAGCGAAGCGCATCCCGGCTGGGCTGCTACGCAGTGCACTAGCGAATGGATGTGAATGACGCTGGAACCGCCCCACCAGAGCTCCAGTTGCCTGCCGGGTGAGACCTGTGCTCCGGCACCTCACCAACCGGCAGCTGCAGACCACCAACCGCACTTTCCCCGACTTCAACCCATTCCATCTCCCGTCCGTGTCACTCTTCCGAGCACACATTCCGGCCATACACTCCACCAGAACCATTATCAAGGGCAGAATGGTTTTCATGAATTCAAAATTCTTCGAAATGCCCAGACAGGCTCTCATACGAAATCAGAAACGGATTGTATAGTAGCCTTTGGTGTGTGCCAGAAGGGTCGACGTCTAATCACGGTTTCCTCACGGAAGCTGTGTCTACCCTAGGTACCCATGTCCGCTCTTGGGCCTTTCCTTTCTATTCCCACCGAGCCAGCCAAGTTCACATCACAAGGCAGTCCTAAGCCGTTATGCGCTCGTCCACAGCCGCGCGAGCATCTCTGGTGATGCCCTCACTAGGGAAGGTTCTTGCCGACGCAGGCTCCGCAACATCATCATGGTTCATTCCTGGCTCCATCTGTCCTTCCATTTCCTCCTCATCACGTTCGGCCTCTTCTGCCTCCTGGGCCGTGGCCTCACCGGACTGTAATCCAGCCTCACTAGGACCAGATTCTGCGCCCATGCCGATGATGTCAATCCACCTCCACGCCTCGATCGACCAAAGGGATTTCTTCTCCCCGTTCTCTTCATTTTTGGTGTCTCCCTCCTTCTCTTTGCCAGGCTTCTTCTCAAGTATGGCCTTATCTTCGTGTATACCTCCATCGACCCGCTTCTTCCCTTTCTTGAGGTCAATGTCTTCCTCTGCTCCGCCTTCCACTAGGTCACCGTACCAGGTTCTTGCAACGCTGACCCCATTCGCTCTCAGGAACTGCAGGATAGCGCGGGTGTTCAACCGGAGAATCCGCTCCGGCTGCTCTCCTTTGAAGATTTTCTTCACTGCCCATGGGAACAGCACACCAAAGTCGCTCTGATTGAGATGGGCACTGTTTTGGACATAGAAAACGCCAGGCTCGCTCAGCTTTGTCACTGATCCCTTCGTGGATTCGTTTCCACTTGATCTCTCGAATGCCGCCTGCGAAACGACCTTGGCCGAAGGGTCCGGCGACACAATTCGTGCCGTGCTGTGCATGTTCTCCTTCCACTTGTAGAACGCCTCCGACTCAATGGCCAGGATGCCGTTGCCACCGACAGGAGAGGCAGCAGTAGGGGAATAAGCGGGAAGCGGCAAGTTGAAGAGAGGGGCAGAGGCGGCCGAGAGGATAGGGAAACACCACATGTCGAGAAGGAACGTTGGTGTGTTTTCGGTGATCTGACGACGGATAGCCGAGTTTTCCACTGGCCTGAACAGAGGGTTATCCCACTTGGCGATGTCTGGATGGCCTGCATAGTATGTGCTCTTGAGCACCTGAACTATGGTTGCAGAGCCGAAAGAGTGTCCGCCAAAGATCATCTTGCCAGGCTCATGCACATCAAGTTGTCCAGTAAACTGATACAGAGCCGACAACGGGGTGGGACTCGGGGTGCTGAGGTTGGCCTTGATGAGGTCGTTGTCGCCAAGGTCAATATTGTGGATCGCCTCCATGAGAAGTCCTATCTCCCATGCGCGAATCCGGATTTGTGCCTCACGCTTGGCCCAAACTTCCGGGGTATGGCTGTGCTCGATGCGAAGACAGCGTACGATATGCGACAACTTGGGATCACTGGGATCGCGGATTATGGATATGGCTGCGCTGGCATCCCGATGTTCGGGGCAGAACACCACCATGCCATGAGACGCTAGGGATCCGGCAATATGACTATAGGCATTCCGACTACCGCCGAGTCCGTGAGAGAAGAGAACCGTTGGCCATCGAGATTGCGGATTACCAGCTGACTGAGGAGACAAGAGCGTAGCATTTGCGTGAACCGGGATTTTGATGTAATGAAGATGCCTTGGCAAGAACCTGGATGCGAAGTCAGCTAAATCTGATTGTTAGTGACACGAATGATGGGATACTGACGATAGAACGGATGCAACTCGGGAACTCAGGCCAAGAAACTGGCTATAAGCCCAAACAGCGAGACGCTGAGGAGGCGGGAGCCAGGTTATGCTCTCATTGTTTGTGTCAGGAGTAGCGGGATAGTATAGCCTGAACTGAATGGTGTGGATGTGATCAGCTTCTTTTGGGATTGCGCTCACCGAGCCAATCTTCGATATTGGGATTTCGACGTCTACAGTGCCCACTTTGTAGGGTCCCGTATACTCTGGAAAGGCCGGGACAATGCTCGGCAGGAAAGAGAAGACCATTTTTGCTGCAGAGTGACTATAAGCGACAAAGGGACGTTGTATCAAATGGATTGTTTTGTCGTCAAACATCTAAGAATGCCGTCAACAGCGTAGTTTCTGGGTGTTGGCGGCAGTGGTTCCGATATCGTACAGACAAAGCCGACTGACTGTTGCCCAGGGGTAAGGATTTAAGAAATATTGATGTCGAAATGCTGAGGACAGGAGGATATTGAGCATAAACCTAGTAAATTCCAGGGATATCGGTGAGAAGAAATTCTTGATGTCTCAGATCAGGATTCGAGCCTCGGCCTAATTTATGGCAAGAACAATAGCTTTTATCGATGGAGCCTCGGTCGTTGTTCCCATTCTGGATGCCCAGGTTTATCTGTCATCCAAACATTTTGGGGAAGCGGGTACGTACACTTCATCGTCAACAAGTCTTGGCATCCGCCGCGTCAATCAAGGCGATACTTTCACCTGACTATTATTTCCACAGGGCTTTGGTAATTCCGTGGGCCCTTAGTACTCTCAGCTAAGTACATTCCATCATTGAAGACGCAGTGATCTGATTTGAATGGGCAGGGAAGGAACCTGCTCAGGAACAGGCAGGGCGGGAGAGTGGCTGTGTCCATTTTTGGAAGGAACACAACCGATTCGATGAAAGATTGCTGAAAAGAAGTGGGAGTTTTGAGGGTTAGGGTACCTACAATAAGTAATACATATACGTTTGGCGTCTCCCGCCCCATCAGCTAAGACCACAAACAAACAACAACTTCGTCTCAACATCTCATCTCATCACAAGCATCTGCTTTACCATCCGAATGGCCCGCCTGTACCACAAGATGTGGCTCCGGCAAGCGCCCAACTCATTAGTTCGGGCATATTCCCAAAGTCCCCAATGTGTTGAACATCCAACAGCTGCAGTGCAGGCGTCAAATTATCAGCAAAGCGACCAAGACGACCGTGAAGGATGGAACACTCACCGACATATCCCAGTCACCCATCATCCCCAGCGGCGTTTCTGTTTCATATGTGGCTAATACCCCGTCTGTTTCAACTTGTCCTTGTTTTTGTTGTTGTCGTTGTGATTCCATCCCCCCTTCTGCCTCTCCCTGTCCCCATCCAAATCCGTGCTTTTGCTCAGAATCGGTTTCTCCACAGCTCGCCATCCTTATCCTCGTCTCCCTCTCCAACATCTCCTCCAGAAGCGGCACACACTTATCCACAACCTCATCTGCCGCCCTGACCAGTACCTGCGCAAGTGCTTCGTCCCCTTCCAGGCCTTTCATCATACCTTCAATCTGCGCCGACACCATACTAGCAAACAGGTGTCCCTTCACGTTGGTCTCGCCCACCTTGATGCTGCGCATGGTCCAGTCCTTGGCCTCGGTCACCATAGCGAGCAGGTCTGGTCGCAGCAGCGATCGATTTACTGGAGCAAGACTTGTTTCGGCTTCTTCTCTGAGCTGGGCGCGCAGCTCGCCGAGGAGGAGCATGCTTACCTGAATCCCTGCGTTCCGGCAGAAGCCGGCACCGTGGGAAGCCAGGCGGCCAATGTCTTGGTTGGCAGCTCCTTGGGGGTTGGTATCTTGCTTAGTGGCATCTGACGAGGAAGGGGAGGCTGGCCAAGGGTTGATGGCACGCCAGATCTTGAAACAGGACTCCACGACGACCTTTCGCGAGAAGGCGTAGGCAGCTTCGTGGAGGGCGGCGCTGTAGAAGGGAATGTGAAGGGCGGAGAGTTCACGGTTGATGACGAGATCGATGAATTTAGACGGGAAGAGCAGAGCGGATGACGATGACCCCGGCCAGCAAACCTTGTTCAAGTTGCGAGAAAGCACTTGAAAGGTCCGAGTGAGAGTTCGATACGCTGCTCTCAGATCCGCATCGAGTCTCAATGATTCATGATATGCAGATGCCATATCACCCTGGCGACAAGTCGATCCGAGGTCGTTCAGAAATTTGGCGATCGCAAGCCTGATGGGAAGGATCTTCCGCATGGCGATTGCAACGGACGTTTGCGTAAACTCGGTTTCCGGTTGCGCAACTGCGGGTGAATGGTCGCTTCCATCGTCTGCACGAGTTTCCACAAGCTGCTCATCGTGGAAGTTACCCGGCGGCTCTGTGTCATAGTCATTGAGCGATATCTGCGGCGGTGCTCCGGCATTCATACTACACGAGACTGTTAGCTCGAGCACGGTATTCCACAGCCGCCGGTGCAGTTCGGCGGCGAAGATTGTCCTCTTTAGGAGGTGCGCCGGGTCTCTGTGCAATCCCATGTACACCGCCGTCCTCAGCAAGGAACCCGCCGAGATCCAGGTCAAATTTCCACCTAGACCGACCGTTTCACGTGCTAGCAATAGCAAGATATCGGTTTGTAGGGACTTGATGTTCAATCGGGACTTGAACTCTGGTTCCGAGGTGAACGTGAGCGCCTCATACACCCAGCGGATGGCAGAGGGGCGGAGAGAAAAGTCTTGGTCGTAAACGGTGGCGCCAACGGCAAGCACGAGCTTGACTTGGACCAGGAAGGCCATGTCGACATGCTGCAGCTGTTGATTCGGATGCGGTTGCGCCGACACTGATTGCCAGAGCGCCTCATAGTCTCTTTTGAAGGTGGGGATGTGCAGGACCCTGTACAAGGACTCAAAAGTCCTGAGATAACAGTCGACAAGTTGGTCGGCAATTTCCCTTGGGGGCAGGTTACGAGTTGGTATGGTCGGCCACGGCGGAACCCTCTGAGCCTTGATGGTTCTGGCTAAGGCTTTGCACTTTTCCACGCCGGCCATGGACTTATTTGCGGTGCCGTTGCGGACCAGGGGCTCGAACATTTTGAAAATGTCCAACAGCTGTGTTGGTGCATATGGTCAACAAGGACTTACAGTTCTAGGAGGGACAAACGGATGTTTATTGAGGTTTGCACGCACCAAGATGACTCCATTGAACCAATGACTTTGGCCGAACAGACGGCTTTTGTGGAAGACATTGACAGTTCGGGAGCTGCTGGCCGTTTGAGTAACGAAGGTTCCTGCGAGGGAAGACTCGTGTGTAGCTGTTGGATTGGAAGAGGATTTTGGGTTTGAGGACCGTGAAAGCGCTTCTTTGGACAACTGTTCCTCAAGCTCCCGAATTCTCCTTCTCAGGACATCGGGATCCGAGCTAGAGACTGAGGTCGCGAACTGATTTGTTGAGGCAGGCGAGTGAGGTGAGCTAGGGTAGCTAACGCAGGATGAAGCTTTTGAGGAGTGGCCCGAGACAACAGTAAAAGTATCGCTTGTTGACGGGGTAGAAAACGGCAGTGCTGTGATGAGAGGGTCTGGAACTGGGGCCGACCGGACAACTGGACCCGTTCGAACAAGGCTCGGGGCTTGGTCTTTGAGGGTATCACAAGCAACCGGACGTGGTCTATGCGGTGGTAAGGGCTGAGGAGGTTGGCGGACCTGATACACACAGCCGTGGATGTTCTTGGAGCGAATACAGTTGCTGCAGGGTGTCTCCCGATTGCACCGGATTTTACGCCTCCGGCAAAGAGCACACGACCTGAATCAATTAGCCTCGTCGCGGGCCACATGTCCGTTAACATCGAATGGGGATGCCACGGAGCACTTACACTTGTGGCCGTAGCCTCGGGGTCCGACGTTCAGGCTCCGCCATAGTCAACAAGGGGTGTCCTCCGAAAGCCGTGCAGGTCGTCTCCGTGTAGTCAGGCCCACTCCGAAAAGCGCCAAGCCGAAGGAGCGATCTCGGTGTAGCTCGATCTGCTGGGGGTTTTCGGGCGAGACACCAATCCTCGGGAGTTAATCTGGGGAGGAAAAAAAAAGAATCTCGGGAGAAGACAAGAATTGCAAGTGTACTGAAGAAAAAGTATAGTACTGCCAGCGAGCTGTTCGAAGTCGCAGTCTCTGAAGTTCACTCTTTGTCTCTGTCGCCCGCCATACTTCGGGCTTACACCAAATGACCGGGGTCTGATTGGCTCGCTGCTCCGAGTCCGAGGCAAGCTCCGAATATCTGACATGTTCGCCGTCCTTCAGACCGACGGAACGGGGTCGGGCATGTTGGTGATGGTATGGTATTCTTTCGAACTACCTTTTGCGTAGTAGCCATCGGAATTGCCATACAAGTTGCGGTGGATGGATTTTGAGATGGAAGTGTATATATATATTGTGTGAAACCCCAAGTCATACGAATGTCAAAACCAAAACAGAAGGGTTCTTGAGAAGTCGTGTACTCTACCTTTGATACCCATTCAAGACATCATCGAGTACCCTTCCAGATCAACTTCACCATGTCGAACCCACCTCCTCACACCACAGCTCATCGGCAGTCTATCGCCTTGAAAGACAAATACCCCTCCTCACCACCTTCAACCGACCTCAACACCGGCGACAACTCCGACAAAGACCCCAACCCCTTGCCACCGAGTCCGACCCAGACGTTCTTCACCCCGAAGACACCACCACCATCTCCCCCGCCCCTGACGGCGGTCCCCGCGCCTGGCTCGTCGCCGCCGCCGCCGCCGCCTTCACCTTCTTCTGCACCCTCGGCTACACCAACGCCTTTGGCGTTTTTGAGCAATACTACCTCACCTCCCCCTTCTCCCCCCTCCACTCGTCTTCCTCCCACTCCGCCATGTCCTCCTCCAAGATAGCCTGGATTGGCTCCCTGCAAACCTTCCTCACCTTTTTCACCGGCTTCTTCGCCGGTCCCCTCTTCGACCGGTATGGCGCCGTCGCCACCGTGCGCCCCGGCGCCCTGCTCTTTGTGTTTGCCATCATGATGACTAGCTTGTGCAAGCAGTATTGGCAGCTGATGCTTGCGCAGGGGGTTCTGGGCGGGGTCGCTATGGGGTTGTTGATGTTCCCTGCTATGGCGGCAGTGGCGCAGTGGTTTGATACAAAGAGGGCGGCGGCGTTGGGTCTGGCGGTTAGTGGGAGTTCGGTGGGGGGCGTGGTGGTTCCGATTGCGTTGGGCAGGATGTTGAATGGTGGTTCTGCCGCTGGTGATGGTTTGCAAGAAAGGGAAGGGGGGCATCTGGGGTTCGGTTGGTCGGTCAGGATCATCGGGTTCATGATGTTGCCCCTTCTGGCGTTTGCGAGTCTGGCGATTAAGCCGCGACTGCCGCCACGGACGACGAATTTCTTTGTGGTGAAGGCGTTGAAGCAAAAAGACTTTGTCATGTTGGTGTTTGCCATCTTCTTTCTGTTTCTGGGCATGTTGACGCCGTTGTTTTTCATCCCGACGTATGCCGTCTTGAGAGGGATCGATGCTACGCTGGCTAGTTACTTGCTGGCTATTGTCAATGCGGCGTCGACTTTTGGACGCATCATCCCCGGCGTTTTGGCTGACCGGGTAGGAAAGCTGAATATGCTGGCGGTGGGTGGAGTGGCGAGTGGGATCAGCATTCTCTGCTTCAACAAGGCGGTCTCGACGGCTGGGTTGATCGTGTACTCGATCTTTTATGGGTTTTCTTCTGGAATGATCATTTCGGGGGCATCTGCCGCCTTGACAGTCTGCCCGAAAGACCCGAGAGATCTCGGATCATATATCGGTATGGGAATGGCATTAGGAGCGATTGCTGTGCTGATAGGACCTCCGATCAACGGCAAGCTTATTGATGTGTATGGGGGATATCTCGAGCTGTCCATCTTCAGCGGCGTCATGTGTCTTGTCGGTGGGCTGGTTGTAATTGCAAGCAAGATGATGACGCCGCAGGGGATTTTCGGAAGAATGTAACACAGCGGGGGGGCAGGCAGTTGCAAATCGGAAAGAAGGAAAGGCCAAACTGGCTGTCAAGAACACCTTCGATTCCTGTATAATAAACGCACCGCGGTCATGAGCTTCGTGGATGTTAGGTAGAGTTGCCAAAAGAAGAAAAACCAAATAGACAGGAAAAGAAAACCCACCTGCATCAGCAACGCCAAACAACTTTTTCCTTACCAAGCGAGGTTCCCACGCACCCAAGCTCGATCAACTGTTCTAGCATAGCATATCCATATCCATCACTAAGACAACTCCCTAGATCTGAAAAGCTCTGAACTCCCAAACTCCCTCAATCCTCCTGTCTCGTGAGCGTCAAATGCAGCTTATGCTGCCTCATCAACGAAACAGCTACCAACCCTACAGCCGCCATCCCCAGCGCCGTGAACCACACGCCCCTAAACGCCGTCATGAACGACTCCATCACGCCCTCTCTCCACGCCAGAGGCAATCTGTTCAGCTCGCCCAAATCGTCTCTTATCCTGCCAATCTCCTCGGCCGCGCCCGGCCAATCACCGAACCGAGCCCACAGCTCCGTCTTCAGGATATTCTGGTACACCGCCGATCCAACCGTAATACCTACCGTCGCACCGACAGACCGGAAAGCGTACGTAGCACTGGTGATCACGGCCTGTTGCGAGTGATCCACGGCCGCAATGCAGGCGACCATGGTGACGGTCAACATGCCGCCATAGCCGCCTCCAATCATAAACAGGGCAACAAAGACAATCCAGCCGGGAGAGTTCTGGCCCAGAGTGGTGAGGGCGGCAACCCCCAGAACAAGAGTTGAGACTAGGGCGATGCCCAGTATCTTGTACTTGCCCGTGTACTTCATGACTAGGCCCGAACCGAAGCTGGTGAAGCAGATGGCCAACGGGGAAGCGAGCAAACGGAGCCCGGCTTGGGTGGGGGTGTGGCCCAGGACGATCAGGTAGATGGGAATGTAAAAGGTGAGCAAGAGAGTAACCATGGTGCACATGAAATTGGTGACGCAGGCGGTCAAGACGGTGCGGTGGGTGAGCAGCCGGACGGGGATGACAGGTTGGGTGTTGCGCGGGCGGGACTCCCAGTAGATGAAGCCGGCAAGCATGTTGAGGGATAGAGGGATGCTGATCAGGACAAGCGGGTGCGTCCAGGGGACGACGTTGCCGCCGGCGTTGAGACCCAGAAGGAGGAGGATGAGGAAGGCGATGATATAAAAGGAGCCCAGAAAGTCGATGCGCGAAACGAGCGACTTGTTGGAGACTTTTGGAGGAACCTTGACGAGGAAGTAGACGAGCACAGCCGAGACGAGACTGACGGGGACTTGGACGAGGAAAGCAAGGCGCCAGCCCCAAGATGAGGTGTCGTTAAGGAAGCCGCCAAAAACGCCGCCTAGCATGGCACCGGCTCTGCAGAACTGTGTCAGTAAGCAGCATCTTCAAGGAACCAGCATGAAATGACAACGTACCCATAGAAAATATTACCCAACCCCTGGACCACACCTCTCTTCCTCAAAGGAACCAAATCCGATCCCAAGAAGGTGCTGATGCTCATCAGTCCTCCGCCACCAATACCCGCAACGACGCGGCCGAGAATCATCGTCTGCTCATCCTTAGCAACACCGCAAATCAGGTTGCCTAGCGAGAACAAAACATTGCTAAAAACCAAACCAGGACCCCGTCCAAAGATGTCAGTCATACGACCGGACAAGGGCTGGCAGGCTGCATTGGCAATGAGATACGCAGTGGCTATCCAGGACAACAAGCTAAGGGACTGGAACTCGCTCGCGATGGGGGCCGACAGTGTGGCGATGATGCTAGCGTCAATGGCACCGAGGAAGACGCCCACCCAGGTTGTGCCGAAGATTACGACCAGACGAGTGGTAGAGAGTTCATCGGCCACGACGGTAATTTCGCCATCACCGGTGCTGTAGTCATTGGCCACGACAGAGATTTCGCCATCACCGGGGCTGTAATCATCGGCCACGACGGTAGTTTCGCCATCATCGAAAATGTCGGCATCGTCGCCGTGTCTGACGGCCTCGTTGGTGGGTTTGTTGGCTTCGAGGGGGGATTCGCTCAGTAGTGGTGTTGTCTCGTCGTGGACGTGACGACTGCTTCCGGGAGCGGCAAGAACCCGATCCCCACTGCCGGGGCCAGTTATTTTGCCCGTCATGCTCGGGAATATGGTGTATGTTGCTCTTCCAAGCGATTAATTTGACTCAAGCCCGAGAGTAGATACAGAAATCCAAAGTCAAAAAGGAAAAGAGAGGATCCCGCGCACAGCTCAGAGCCACAACACCTTGAGCTCCAATACCGATCTCCTACGTGAAATTTAGCATCTATGTGGTCATCAGTGTAAGCTCGGGAATATCAATGTACCTTGGTATCACCGGAAGACCCGAGTCCGAGACAATCGATGACGGGAGGTGCTGTTGTGCGACTCTCTCTTGTAACGGAGGTTGTCGGTCGTCCTCTCTTGTCATTCAAAAAGAGAGTTTGGATGAAAACTGAAGACATGTGGACGCGCAACATGCAAGCCGATATGGCGTTACCGGCGGCCAATACCGTTCACGGCTCCAGTGGACCGTAAATAGTTAGTGCGATATCCGGATTGGTGAGCAAGTCGGGTGGGGCAATTTCCTCAACTGTTTCACTGAGTGCGACTTTGTCTCGGACATTAGCTACTCTGTCAGTCACTGTTTGTTGAAGGACATCACGGCCTAGAGGTAAGCTTGGGGATACTCATCAAGCTGCTGGTTACCAAACTCGTCAATGATGGAAGCCGGGTTGAAGCCGGTTGTTTACCCAAGTCTTGTCAATGACGCGGTCCAACAAAGAAGCATAATACGGGTTAGGGTTGGATATGGACCTACAGTGACGCCAAGCAGATTGGAGAGCGGCATCGTGCAATTCAGGGGTAAAATAAACAAAGATTTGGCCAAGTACACGTACAGTGTCACACAACAAGATTTGTGTACAACACGCGCATAATGACCGAATCGTCAAACATATTGCTGTTTTATGTACCTAAATGATTGATGACTGTTGCTTTTAAACCCATGGTATCTCGTACAGTCTTTTATACATCTGGCCTCTTTAGCCAAACCAGACCCCCAAGTCCCAAAACACGCTATGCTCCCAAATCCCTTTATCAACCAGACCATAGTACACTGGGAGAACAAACGATGCAGAGACACAATCACATCCTGATCTACTCCTCATCGCTACTGTCAATGATGAATCCACCCCTGGCTTTTGGCTTTTGGCGAGCAGCGACCACCGGCTGATCATCCTCCTCATCGTCTCCATCATCCATCGCCATCTTGTTTATTCTCCGCCCTAGCCCCTCACCAGGGCTAGAGGGTAAGGGTGCCTCATTTCTGGTCGTGCGTTCGTTTGCCGAATCCACGTCCATGGCATCCTCTTCCTCATCATCATCATCATCATCATCATCGTCGCTGAGCTCCACCACAGCCCTCTTCTTGGTTGACCCAGGTCTCCTTGCCGGTCGTTTTGACGGTGCCGCCGCCTTCCTTTTCGAGGTTTTACTCTTGGCCTGTTTCGTTGGCAATTCTTCATCGCTGTCCTCCTCTTCCTCCTCTTCCTCCTCCTCCTCTTGCTCTTCTTCGGAACCAGAAGCGACCTGCTTCTTCCTCCGCTTCGCATTCTTCCGCCCTTCATTCTCACTCTCATCACTCTCGGGCTCATCATCCAGCACCGCCTCCCACGCGCTCTTCTCCCCTCCATTCACCTGCGACAACACTGACAACCCCAACGCCCCAAGCATGCTATCAAACTTTGAATCCTTTGTCTCCTGCCTCTTTCTCTCCCGCTCAAAGAACTCCCGATCCCTCTCATCGTCCGTTTCATCGTCGCTTGCGTGCACGTACATCTCACTCTTGATCTTCCTAATCTTCTCCAGCTCCTTCTCCCTCCTCTTTTTCGCACGCGCAGCCAACACTTCATCTGACACCCCCTCATCTTCCTCGTCTCCACTGCCAGCCTCTCTTCGGCGCTTGCGCTGACGCTTCTTCTGCGGCCTAGCGTCCGGCTTGCGAGCGGTAGGACCGCCGGGCGCAAAGAGGAAGTCTTCCTCGTCATCGTCACCGAGGAATCCGCGGATTTCTTCCTCATCATCGTCATATGCGGCACGCGTCCTGCGAGAAGCGGCGACGGACTTGCGCCGGAGCTGGTCTTCGGCTGAGCCGCCGTCCTCAAAGGTGGGAGGGGAGAACTCGGCCTTGTTGATGAGGTCGATGGTATCTTGGATCGCCTCGGCGGTGTGGCTGCCTGGAAGAATCCAGGTCGAGTCGGGGGTCTCGTCGAGAGTAGGCGTGAGACGCTCCATACCGACTAGACGCATGAGAAGACGGAGGTGCGGGTTCTTGAACATGGCTGTGCGGCGAGCCTCGGTTTCAGGGCGGATCGTGATATGTGGTGGTGCTGATTTGTTGGATCTCTCGTCGGCAGCTTCACCATCAGCCGCCCCTTCGGTGGTGGCTGCCATGGCCTTGTCTACGTTCTCCCATGCTTTCCGCTCGCTCATTGCACTTGTCAGCTGATCCTTGAGCCACTGCAGATGTTCGACTTGCTGTTTGTCGATGAGTACGCTGACCGCAATGCCAATCTGCTCGTCGCGGTCTGTGGCTCGCTTGAACTCCAGCTCGGCACCAGGGCGTGGCGTAGTTGTGGTGACAGGCTTCTCATAGCCGTGCTCAAGGAAGTGCGTCGTGCTTCCGATCTTGGAAAAGAGCAACTCGGTAAACAACGCAGGCCGCTCCTGAAGCTTTTTGACACATTTCCGAATGATCTGCTTGGAGAGCTCCTCCCATTCCTTGAACATCGGCGAGCTTTTGTCGAGGAGCTCGGGACCTTGGACCATGTTGTAAAAGAGATTGATGATGTCTAGTCGGAATAGCATGATGCTCAGCTCTAGCTTGAAGGCAACGCGGTAGAAGTAGCGATGAGCGCGCTTCAGCTGTGCGTCGTTCAAATCCCGGTAGAATTTGGTGAAGGCGACAAATGTGTCGACAACACCCTGGGGAGCGAATCGAATGGCGAATTTTCCAAACTCGAACTTGCGTTCCTGAGTGACCCGCTCCGCATGTTGCTCATCGTCCCCAGAATCATCGGCATCATTGTCCTCGGGAACGCCAACGTCTTCTGCTTCCTCACCGGCGGCTCTAGCTGCAGCAACAGCAGCGGCAGCTTTGGCAGCCTTCTTCTTTCGGCGAGCTCGCTTCCGTGAGCGCACCTGCAGGTCGACATTTTGCTTAGAGTAACCTTCCAAAATGCGGAGGAAAGTGTGGACAAGCTCGGTCGCGGCATCAAGATATTCGAAGCCTTGATCCTTGTATGTTCGAGCAATATTCGCGATGAGGTCGTGGGTTGTCTCCTCGTAGAAGAGACGGCTGAGGGTGTTTTCGGCAATCTCCTGGTCTTCCTCGTTGGGAGACTCTGACATCTCCTGGACCGTGAGGAAGATCTGGGTGTAACAGCGCATGACGGACGTGAGCAGTCGCCAATCCTTATCACTATAGGACCGGTCAAGCGCACGGTTCATGGAAGCGAACATCTCCTGTTGGAGCACAGCAGCAACGAGGTTAAAACTGTTCACCTCCTCTCCGGCTGCGGACGTCGACTTCGACTCGTCCCTCTTGGCCTTTCTCCGCATCCGCTCGGCTTCGAGGAACCAGGCGACAAGGTAAAAGAACTGGCTCTTATGCTGGTTCAATACATGCAATGCCTCCCGATCGATCGATTGCCTCACGTGCAGAAACAAGGGGTTGAAACCCGAGTCGAGGAAGTCTTGGACGAATGATCGCAGCTGCTGACGAGCTCTCTCGTCTAGCGTCACTGGAGGACCAAGGTCCTTGGGCTCCATCTCGGGTTTCCTGGCTCTTCTTGGCGGTCTGAATGTTTTTGAGTTATCCATCTTCCTCTCCCGCGTTTTCGCGTCCAAAAGAGCCTCTTGGCCAGATACCGTCACCATCTTGCCATCTGCTCGTTTCACCCAGATCATGGTCCCAAATCGACTGTGCCGAGTGGTGGTGGTTTTGTTGTAAGACTTTAGCATAGCAGCCTCCTTGCGCATCTCCGATGCCAGCTCTTGCCCCTTGGCTTTGTTGAGTTGCTTTTCGCTGACGAAGAGCGAGCTGGGGTCAACTCTCTTGACAAGATGAAAGATAATTTCCATAACAACTACATCTTCGGTGCGGAAGTCCTCGCCCATGTTGGAGGCAAGGGTCAGCAGAGTGAGGAATATGTCTTGATACGAAAATGCATCAATGGTTGCCGACCTGGATACCTGTGTCTCGTCGCCTTCGCATTTGACACCTTGCGGGGGTGCGATCATGGCAACATTCCTCAAAAAGAAGAGAACGAGCTTGATAATGGCCTGGTCACGGGGTGTCCGCTCGCCAATAGGCATGGCCATGGAGGGAAGGGCGACCCTGACGGCGGTGTTGAGGATGGGTATCGCATCGAAGTTTATGATGGCGCGCTTGTAGCCAAGCTGGGCAAGCTGCAGAACGGGCATGTGACGATGATGGTTGATGGTCATTTCCGCGCGCTCCTTCTCTATCGGCCAAGTAAGGGGCACCATGACCTCGAAACACGCCAGGGCAATACGGGCCTTGTACTTGCTGTCGGTTTCGCTTTGAGGCCATAATGTCAGGATCTGGAGCAGATCGCCGCCGACAAGGTTCGCTTCAGCCAGACATCTGGCAACGTCCATACGATTGGTCTTTTCATCGTAGAATCGGATCCATTTCTTCAGGTCGCGCAAGACGTCGAGCGCTTCGTCACCGAGCTTGTAGCTTCCATCATCGTCCACGCTGTAACCACCGAGCTATTTGGGCCGCCAGAGTCAGTACATTCATGTACATTAGGGGTCTGGAGGTAGACATACCGCAGAAACCAGGTTGGTGATGTGCGCCCGCACTTCCGGATGGACGACATCGTCGTTGATGTCTGCGGCCTCCATTTTGCGCAGAAATCACGGCGTCCAAGACCAGAACGGTGTCATACGAGTACTAGACAGACTCTCCCCAACTCTCAGCTTGTCTTGGAGGTCGTTTTGTTATCGCATGGATGGTGGCATTTGTCGGGCGCACTTCGTCGGGACGGGACACGCGTTTGTGGTGGTGGGAGACGCGCCGAGCGTGTCGTACTTTTAATGGAAATTGGTGGTACGTATCTCGGTCTTGGCCTGCTTATCTCCCTAAGCGTTTTGTTGGACTGCCCGTTCAAGGTACCTGTGTACCCCGATTTCGACCCCGTGGAGAGCTGCGAGTTACCCCTGTGGACAATCAACGACAGCCGAGGATCTCGAGCTGGCGAATCATGCCCGCAATTGCCCCCCTGAACGACATACCTCTAGCGTACTCCATACGCGCTAAAACCGACCCCATTTTCCCCGCCTGAGAAAAGGCTAGAGCCGCCCGTAGCTCCTGTACGGCAGTACCCCCGTGGCCCGGGTCGGGCTTGTGACGTCGAGTTGGAGACGGGGACGGCCGAGGTTAACCGAATCCGACAACTTCACATCGTCGCATTCGCGTTTTCTAGAGGTGGTTGCCTACCTAGGTGTAGTCTTCCCATTTTTCTGTCCCTTTCCTTTCAGTCTCTCTCAGTCACAGTGTCTGCTTTGTTTACTTTCGCCGTGACGATCTCGCAAAATGCTTGCTAGAACCCTCGTCCAGAAGCTCCCCGTTGGCGCTCGCGCCTTCAGCTCGACATGCGCCCGCAACGCTGCCGAGGTCAAGAGGCTCGGTGTCGTTGGCGCCGGCCAGATGGTGAGTCCGGCCCATATCATTCATGCCCATGTTTTCAACAACGGCAATGGCTGACTTGTCCTCCTTCTCCTTTAGGGCCTGGGCATCGCCCTCGTCGCCGCCACCAAGGCCAGAGTCCCCGTCACCCTTGTGGATGCCTCTGAAACGTCTCTGGACAAGGGCCTCGCATTCGCCGACAAGCTCCTCAGCAAGGACGTGGCCAAGCAACGCATCACTCAGGACGAGGCGGACGCCGCCCGCGCGCTCCTCCAGCCCACCACCATCCTCGAGGACCTGGACAGCGTCGATTTTGTCATCGAAGCCGTGCCCGAGATCCCCTCGCTCAAGTTCGACATCTTCTCCAAGCTGGCCGAGATCTGCCCCAAGCACGCCATCCTAGCCACTAACACCTCCTCCATCTCCATCACGCGCATCGCCGCCTCAACCACCAAGGACCCCAACGACACCTCCAACAGCTCGCGCGTCGTGTCCACGCACTTCATGAACCCGGTGCCCGTTCAGAAGGGCGTCGAGATCATCAGCGGCCTGCAGACCAGTCAGGAGACGCTTGACACGGCCGTCGAGTTTTGCAAGAAGCTGGGAAAGATCCCTTCCATCTCCAAGGACAGCCCGGGATTCTTGGCTAACCGCATCTTGATGCCTTACATCAACGAGGCCATTATCTGCCTTGAGACTGGCGTTGGCGACCGCGACTCTATCGATGCTATTATGAAGAACGGCACCAACGTGCCTATGGGCCCCCTCCAGCTGGCTGACTTCATCGGTCTCGATACCTGTTTGGCTATCATGAAGGTACTGTACGAGGAGACGAGCGATTCCAAGTACAGACCGAGCGTACACTTGCGCAACATGGTCGATGCTGGCTGGTTGGGCAAGAAGAGTGGCAAGGGCTTCTATGACTACCAATAGATGTCTGACGAGAATATGCAAAGGGAGAGTTTGTTAGCGAGGAAAGGGCGACATAAATTGAAGAGCGGCGGGCTCATATTATGACAGCTTCGATGGTCTCGGGGGAATGCGTACCATTTATACCAAGCGATGTCAGCGCGCACAACCAAACAAGGACATATGTACACAACAACAGGACCGGGAACGGCGCCGGGTAGAGAAGCTCACTCGAGACAGTCGAGAGTTGACCAGTAAGAGGCTGCGTTTCAGCTACGAGTGTTCTGATAGACGTCGGGATATACAAAGCACGTCAATTTGGATAGGATAATGCATCACTTTTGTCGGATTTTCAATATTTGTTCCAGCATCGCCAACTCCTATCAAGGTCCTTCACCAAGGATCAAGCAACATTCGTCGCCTCCGCAATGCGATCCCTCAGTCGTCGACTCTCGTACTAGTAAAGCTCGCGATTGCTATTCCAAGCGTGCGCAAAGCAGCGCAGCATCGCTGTTTGCCGACAAAATCGATATTCCTCCTCATTCCAAGTCTTGATTTCAGCGCGGATCTGCGATATAGACCAAAATAATAACGAAAATACCAAGATCAGAAACCGTAACTCTCAAGCAGTCGCTTCAATCTCACGTACCAGTCGTCGCTGCCAATTGATAAGGCGAGGTTGGAAGTAACAAGTGACTGACGAAGACGCAATTTTGCAGCAAGAAGAAGAAGAAGAAGAAGAAGAAGAAACCCAAAACATAAAGTTTTATAACAATTGCCAAGCGGAGCTCCCAGAACCCTCACCAGACCTCCTCATCAGTCTGCCGCCGTATGCCGAATCGTCACCGTAACGTCCTATCACTGTCGGGGCGTCCGGGGCTGTAGCGGTAGTACCTGGTTTGTGGTTATATGGTGAAAAGTGCGATGGCAGAATGGAGAGGAGAAGGTACTATAAAAAGAGAAGGAAGAGTACAATGGAGAGGGGATGGGAAACTCTCGTCGGAACTATTTCTGTCGCTGGTATTCGAGCGCATAGGGTTGCCTGGACCGGTGAGTCTGGCCTGTCGATTGAACGTAAGCTTCGTTGAACCGCTTGATCATTGAACCATCTGGAGGAGACAAGAATTAAGGTGAAAAACTTAGTATATAAAAAACCTTGTTCTTGGGCTAAGTAGTCATTTACGTGGCTGGATAGTGGATGAATATAAGTGAAAGAAGCGCGGCGACTGGCGGATAGGCTTTCGTGCGATGTGTTCACGACGAAGATTTGGATGGCCGTACAAGTTTCCCTCTATTAATATCCAGATAGCTCCGGTATGCTTATTTGCAGGTGATTTGGGAAACATACGTATCTGGTGGAAGCTACGCTATGTAGCAGATTGTATAGCTTGCTCTTGATCCAATGATGCTTTCTTACGAGGCTCCGCGTCCATCAAGGAAAGGGAATCAGGAATCGCGGTCATTTTAGATTCAACACGACGGACGCGAGAAACGGGGGCACTTTCCGATGAGCCATCTAGTTCAGCAAGGACGGGTGACCCGAATCTCGTGGACAGTCAAACGTTCAATGTCGATTAATCTATAGCGGGACTCGCTTGATCCAGGGTAAATCCGACAACTGACGAACTATCAGGTCCATAACTCGAAGGCACTCATGCATGCGTCCCAGAATGTATACAATCAGATTCCACATGGCTGGTCTCTTTGTTCTCGTTGGCCCTACGTGTAACTAGTTATTCTGTCCCAAAGACTCAACCGTGTCACGAAACAACGAGGTAGACGACGCTCTTTCCTACTTCCATCGAATCGGATGACGTTTCGGGGGCTTCCCACTCGCTCGTGACTAATAGTACACGGGTGGTCAACGGGCCGAAAAAACAAAGAGGGGGTGAGATATCATCGTATCAACTCACAAATGGTGCACCAGCCTCAACACTGTCGGGGTAAGGGTGGTGATACTTCGACCGAGTCAAGGCAGTCTTTCAGTCTTGTTTTCGAGACGGTAACCTAAGACCAAAGACGTTGACCTCATCCACCCCTTTCTCATCACAACTTTCTTCCATGTCTTTGGACGGAACCACCCGAGGCGTTGTCACTAGGTACGTTGATAAGTTCCACTGCCAGAACGGGCAGGATGTAAAGAATGACCACTCGCAAGACTAGTGGCTCCTGAAAGTGGCGAAGAGAAGGGGGCTGGAGTTGTAAAGGTCATGTCCAGTCCATCACCACCAGCATATGCAAGTGGAAACACCAGTAACTGCAAGACGACATGCCTTCTTCACCCACTTGGGTGAGCTTTCAGGTCTTTCATGTGCTCTCGCTCCGTCCCCACGTTTTTGCTTAGTGTCTACACACCTTTCCCTCTCTTCAGGCGTGAGATTGGATGTTGAGGAAGCATGCCGGGGAAAAGCAATGTGACGAAAATGGAGGGCCGGAAGCGAGAAGCGAGCCGTGGCCAAGCAGACAAGGGCAAAAGGGGTATGTGAGAGGCGATAGGTTGAAATTCCGTCCTTACCTCTACGCACTTATGGAGGGCAAGAAATCTGTCGAACGATACCATCCTTGGTTTGCATAGTGGGTGTGATGATCCCTGTCCTATCAAGAAATGAGCAAGAGTCTCGATGGGCCTCGTCGATAACTGCTAAGACTCAGCAGCCAACACATAAGCAGCACTGCATGATGTCCGGGACCGGCGCCGAGAGTGCATCAGACTAGAGGTATGCCCTTTCCCTTGACTGTAGGTTAGCCTTCAACGCTAGGTCTGTTGGAATAATGGACTCTACATGTTGAAAGGGTATGAGCCGGGTGATGAACTTGGGTGAATGTCTAAGTGATGTGATGCACTTGAACATCGTGAGGACGCGCCCCAAAGTATGAAATCACTCAGACAATTGATGTGAGTCTGTCTGCCAGTCTCCTGCTCCCAGCAACGAGGTGTTCTATCAGTGTTTACTCCCCGGATTGCAGGTGAAAGCATGAGACAGGTATATTCTGGGTGTATGCATGGCAAGATCAGTCGTTAATTTCATCTAGGAACGACGAAAATCTTCAATGACGAATTTCATCGACCATCATACAGACGCCAAAGCAAGCCGTCCTGCCACAGAATGATGACCGACGGACAGAAGAGTGCTCTGATCTCGGGCGTGACTGTTACACGGCTGAGTCTTGAAGCTTTCCACCCCCTTGGGTAAAATAAAATGTACACGGTACGTATGTGGGTATCTGGACAGCGTTAACCCATGATCAAGACAAAAGTATCACAAACTGTTTGGATGGCACATAATCGCGAACATCTGTAATGGTGAATACCGCCCTTCCACAGGCAGGTCGTATCCGAAGACGAAAATCTGGAGAGGAAGAGGTGGATGAAAGCTTGCTGCATGGCGGGTGGTAATCCAGCGGCTAAACATGTAGCCGCCACGGAATAAAGGGCAATCATGAAGACAAGACGGCATTGCCACCGCGGCAACAGCATCAGGATCATCTGTGACCAGGATGAGCATCAGTCAAATGCTATTAGTTGCCACTTGCTGTCTTTCTCAATCCGCATCAACTTCTCAGGCGAGATGTGGGCTCTGTTGATATTGAGGGCATCTGAATTTGTGTCATCGGAATAAGGCAAAAGAAGGAGCTAAAGGGGTTGCTGCTGAACTGCTAAAACGCAGGGCCTTGTTGTGATACGTGTGCTCTGTTGCCTCCAGCCAGGCGGAACATCAAGTGTTGTGCATCAGTCCATGCTCACTGATTGAATGATCGATGGAACCAGTGAGTGGTAACTGAAGCCGACGGGAGTGTTGATGCGCGAGCCAGCTACATAAACCGATGTCACAAAGTGCTTCTCTCATCAAGATGGCTTTGTAAATGGATCCTTCTATCTTTCGAGCCCCGGTCTTTTCCAATTCACCTGCTTAACATCGCGAGGGTTGGGGGCATTGATGAAGATACAAAAGCCGGGATAAAATTTCACCGCTTGTGTTGGGCGCGGATTGATATTGGGCCGTGGTCTTGATGGCGAACAAAGACATTGTCCTTGTTGTAATTGTCATAATAAGCATTCTACACCTAGGGAGGTAGCTATGCTCAACTGCCACCAACATACAGCTCAAACTGCGTTCCAGGGCACCGGAGTGCTCGATCCCAATAGTTTAGCCGTTGAGCCGTGAAATGTGGACATGTAATCTGCTTCGATGTGAACACCGACGCCACAGCATCGGCCTCGTGTTTGAGAGTGGACCGCATTCTCGGACATTCTAAACTTCAACTTTTTAGCTTTCGACACGTGCGAGGAGCACATCAACTGCATCTGCACGATGTCACACGTCGGAAAGTTGCGTATGGTTTGGTTGGGGTAGATCACTTCGCAAGAAAGTCCAATCGAAACATGTGCAACCAGAAGGTCAGATATCGTTATCGTCTGTCCAAGGATACTAGCTGTTCTGGAGAATTGGACGATTGACGATATGTCTTTTTGGTTATACTCCACCCCTGTCCCATGATAGACGATATGATGTTTCCAGTGGAAAATTCAAGTCAACTCAGAACTGGAAAATGTGAAGATGAGAGGAGACCGAGCTATAATTATAGCCCGCATCATCGAAGCACAGATAAAATGACTATTCTCAGAGCATCTTGACATGCCCGTAATTGCAGTCGTGGATCGTAAGAACAAACTCGCCATGCTCTTGCCGGCTGGATTTCGGTTTCGCGCGTGCTTCACATGCAGGCATGCAGCCGACACACATGGCTTCGACGCCGCCAACGGTCAAGGCCATGATGTAGCAAATAACGAGAGTGTGAGAGGTATGTGCGGTTCCCATTGACTTCTCCCTTGTCCGGTGTTTGACTTGTGACGAGTTGGGCACTATGGCTAGGGTTCCAAGCCATTGGCTCAATATTACGGATTGCTGCATGTTCACACCAAGAGGTTTCCATGCCGAAGGTCTGCAGAAGCTGGCCGCTCGAACAAGGTTGTCGGCGAAGGCCACAAATGCAGGGACGCACTGAGCGAGAGACGGGAGATTGTGCGAGGACAACGTCTTGTTTGTGTCACGGTGTTTCACAGCAAGGCCAGCTCGGCGAGAGCCTCGGTCAAGCGGCTTCTCCCCGTGACGGTTTAGCATACTCAGCGACAGTCAATCCCAAGAGCATCCAAGCAAAAAAAACCGCTGGACATGTACGTCCGAGGCTTCCTTTCCACCGTATGTACGTGGTTTCGGTGGATAGAGGGTGTGCAAGTCGGACAAGGCCTCCCAGGTATGCATAGCGGTTGCGGCTGACGTCTTGACAGGATGCCTACTGGCTTGTGCCAGGTTGACAGCATTCGAAGAAATGATGGGGTCGAGATTAGGTGTCAGAGAGTAGGTATACATGAATGGGGATCATCTATACGCACCTTTGGTGGCAAGTGAGGGAGAGGTATCCAGACATGTGCCGTCTCAGCTGCAATTTGGACCAGGCCATACAGCAGAACGCATACCCAAGGCAACGGTCCGCGTAGAGACAGGTACGGAGCAGAACCGGATAGACCGTGTTGGTGTTGGTAGATCATGGCCAGGCCGGGTATCAGAAACGGCGGGGAAGTAGAATAAAGGGGCCCCTGTCTGGAACCGCAACTGCGAGCATGGCGAGTCAAGAAGCGTTATCGGGACCGACACACATCAGGGACGGGAGAGGAGCACAGTCGATAAACAGACCTGCCATGTCCGCACCACATCATTCACGCCAGCACAGGCAGCTTGTAGAGTTGACCTCGAATTCGTAAACCCGAACTGGTCTGTTTACTTCCTCAGCTCGCTAGGTACTTACTGAGGACTCATCGGCCAGGACTATCGTGCCCAGACTCTGCTTGACACCACCATGTATTGTCCTGTTGCAATGAATCGCGTGACAAGGTGTCCAGGCTCGGGCAGCATGGAGGCCCGGACTTGGAAAAGAAGCCATAAAAATAAAGCCGAGAAGATACGCGCCCGTTACAGCGGCGCCGGCAGCACGTCGGGCATTATGGAGGATGACGTCGTAGTCGGCTGTGGTGGTTCAGTCACGGATATATATGCATTGCCAGTAGGATGCTTTGTGTGAGAGGACGGGAGTAGGAGAACGGAACTGAAGCTGAGTGGCTTTTGTCCCGCTTCGATTCGTTAATTAGAAGAGAAACAGTCCTTCCAGTCGTCAGCCTCCTAAGGTATCGTGCAAGAAGTTGTGTGCTGTATCCAGTCGCTCCTGCCCATCCCGTCTTTCCTCACTTGATGAAGTTGCCCCTGGCGAGCATCAAGTTGTGGGAAGTTGTGACCAATAAAAGCTTAGCTAGCACAGCTGAATGGGTCAACTATCTGCCGCTACAGCTGCAAAGCGCCACCTTTGCAGCTGCCAGCTTAAAGCCATCAACATGTGGCGCAGGCGCAGCGGGCATCTGGGCAATCCAAGTGCACAGTTCGGCAGTCCGTCCCGTCTGACCCAACTTCCCTCAACATTCCTCAATGATATCTCAGCTATCGACTATGGTTGGTTTGGTTTGACGCCGCGCCCGTCTTCCCAGCGCAGCTATTCTCGGCTCAGTAAGCCGGATTCTGAAACAAAGGAGCTCTCCGTCTTCGTTCAAAATGTCCTCATGTGCCACCCGTTACGGTGAGAGCCGTGCCAGCGGGCCAACATCACGATAATGATGAACCGTCGCGTCAATTTTGGGGATAGCCCTGGCTCAGCCAAGCCAGCACCTCATGTTCAGACGGCTCATTCGACATTGTCCTTCCGTTCTTACTAAGATTGAGCGGGTGCTGCGCCGTTTCGGCTCGACAAATTGCAATCATATAATTCCGGATCGCACCGATTCGTACATCTGGTGTTGTCGGTGCCCTGGTCCTTGACAACAGAAGCTTGACTGGACAATCAGTACCTCTGGTCAGGCTGTGGACAAAATGCCCGCCTTCATATTTACAGTTGTGTCGGTCCTAGACCCAGGAGCCCTTGAACTAGACTGAGTATCAGTCACAGGATGTCGAGCCGAGATGCAGACAGGCGGTATCGACCAACCAGACAACTCTCTTCGCATTGTGTTGAGCGACTTTAGGGTCACGCACTATCTCCAAGGAGACATCAAGCATGGAACGGGCCGAGAATCGGCTACAAATGAGACGACGGCGTGCGACGAGAGCAGAGGTGATGCCTGAATGCTTTTGCCTCCGGGTAGTAGTCTTGTACAATGTTATCCAGTCACACCCGTCACACCCGTCCATCATGAGCTCGTTGGAATATTATACGCAGCAGCAGGTACAGACATTTCTCAGATCTACCCGAGCTCGGGAGTCCAGACACAACCAGCGACCTGAAATTTCCACATTGTCCTCGTATTCACGATCTGAATCATGCTCCAGCAGCGAGTGGTTAGCATGACCTAGCAAACTCGGCCCGGTCAGGGGGTTGCGTGCAGACAAACTTGGGCCTTGCTACACAGTACCACATGGGGCATTGTGTGTATGGGGTCTTTTTCTTCCGTTGCAGTCCTTAATCTGAGGGGTAGCTGCAGGAATACCTCTGCGCACCTCAGGTTCGTTTAATCAAGCAAGTTGCTATTGTGTGCCATGTGGAAAAAGGCGAGAGGCAGTGGGAGGAATGCTACACCTTGACCTTAAGTTATCAGCTACCCGCCTTGCCCGCCTCGTCCGCCGCATCTGTGCCTCCATCTCAACCCTATGCATATTGGTGCAAAGTCAACCATGCCAAACGGAGGTTACGGTTTGTAAATATTCCGGCAGCGCTTCCATGGTATGAAACCGTCTGCTAATGAACGATACAGACTACAAGTCGTACACACGGTCTCAGACGATCCGAAGCGAGGGTACTTGCTGGCTCTTACCTCACTTCAAGTTGGCTTTCTGGATCACGTCCCTCCAGTCTGCTCTGATGCTCTATACATAGAGGTAGTACTGCAAAGTGATGGGAAATCTGGATCGACCCAGATGGCGCAACCCACCTTCCCAATTCGAGCGCATCTTGGCTGCCCGATTCGCTACGATGAACCACTTCCCCTCTTTCCCCAACAGAACGCAAATGATCGCACATGGCCTTCAGGAACGCAAAAAGGAAACTTAAGTGACTGACTGAATCGAGATGATTGAAGACGACCTCAACGATGATATCTGGTCCACTTTATCTCCTGAAACTTCCATTTCTGATCTGCGTGCTTCAAGCTGAAGCGTGAGGTCTCAAAACACAACACTCATATGGCAAGTGCCCACCAAGGGAAGGTAGCAACCAAGAACATCAATTAAGGTAAGGAAGGAGGTAAGGTAGGCAAGTACAAGTGAAAGCAAAGGAAGGCACCTTCCCTCGCTCACACAGCATCGGTCGAGTGACTGCAATGATTTCTTCCTAGTCTAGTTGGATCCCCGCCACTCTTTCATTCTGACGGGACGGAACGAACTTGGAACCATTTTCCAGCGTCGATCATCTCAACTCCAGCTCGTGGACGCACAGAAACCAATTTTGGTATTTCTCCCATCACTTCCGTTCCTTGTTCAAGTGTAGATTTCTCTGAACGGCCTTATGCTGGCCAGCCATGTAGGTTAACCGGAATCACGCACCTTTGGCTGTGTCACTCGCTGACTGCTTGACTCGAAATCAGGTCGCAAGTATTTGGAACCCTCTGGCCAAACCTCGACAATTGGCGATCCGGATTAGGCAAGATTCAGGAACACTGTGCCCAGTTGTCGGGATAAAGCTGGAATGCCGGTCCCCCAGACAAGCACAACGGCTGCCAGGCCCTGCTCCTAGGGCAGAAGAACGGATGGAGGATCGTTGACGGACCCCGTCGGCGAGCAGTCCATGTTCTTGGTCCGTTTCGGCATGGTACGGGCAGCAACACGCCCATGCTGTTGGATGCCACCGTCGCGTCTCACAAATGCCAGTCCCTATTGAAACCTGTGCAAGCCGTGGCTCTCGCTGTCAGGGAAATGGTGGTGGTAGTGGGCTGCACCCCTAGCTCGCCTGGCTCACCTGGCTGCCCTGCCGTTACCTTTACGCTTGTCCATACAGCTACCCTGTTGCCCCTGCAACGGGACATGACCCTTGTCTACTATACAGCCCCCTGTCTCCTGTACGGACACCCTCTCGAAGCCATGGGAGCCATGGCATGCGCCGGCTTGGGATCTGGCGTCTTGACTGCGTCCACGCCCACGGAGTGTGTTCCCCGAAGAAGATTCGACCGTTGAGCCACCTTTCTAGCCCAACTGCGTCTGTCCTCCTTCGTCTTGGCACAGCATTACATAGCAACGATACGACCGTCTTCTCGCATCTACCGTCCACACTCGAGCAGAACACAGACCGCAGACTGCAGAGCTTCTCACTACCACCCTCCGCCTGCAAGACGCCTCTCCTTCTCGCCTTTACCTAGTCCACAGTATCTCTAGGTACCGGGACCCTCCTATCCTTTTTATCGTACAGTTACACTAGACCCCACCGGACCCGGCCTTTGTAGCTTCCTGGGAGGTCACACATCATATCAGCCTACGGCTTATTCGGCGCACTTTCCCTCGACTCCTGACTCGCTCCCGCCGCTCATGGGCTCCCATGCGTTGAGCCTTTCTGTACTAGGGTCTTCTCTTCGCAAGCATTCCTCCCCATCGAGTGGAAGTCAACTCGCCTGTCAAAGCCCTGGCACACGCCGGCATTAACTACCGTGGGGGAGCATATCTGGAAGAGGGGTGGAGATCTTGATATAGCTGCCCAGGATAAGTGTCATGCTTAGCTTGGCCTAGCACTAGCACTTATCCTCCTCTACCCATAAGCCGCTCAAACTGTGTCTCCTCAACAAGTTCTGACGGATAGGAATGGTGGTGTTTTGCCCAGCGAGAGATGTAGCTCACACAGCTTGCACACTGGCCTAGCGCCGTGTGAGCTAGGCGTACCTCGACTTGTCATCAACGTGACAGATAAGGGTCACACAACTCAACTGTATGCCTCAATCCCGTTTTTTTTGTTGCTAAACGAAACGCAAATGCCGCTCGGTTCAGACCGGTCCGCTACAGTACAGGCCTTAGCGTCTGCAAAGCTGGGAATTTGGTTGAGGGAGACCCGTAAAGAGGTCCAGATGCTGGTAGGGCGACATCGAACCCAATAGTGCTCCAGGTCGTCAAGTCTTTTGTGGATTTAGATGGGACATCAACAGGAAAGATCTGCCCATCAATGATCTCCCTCCCTATCGGACCCCCCTGCTTTGCGGCCATAAAGTACTCGGAGGTGCCATGTTACAAGGATGGCTTCGATTCCCCAGCATCACCGAATGCTCCCTTCTCCCTCCCGCACCACCATACCCAGCTCAACTGACTGCTTCGAGCAGCACTGATGTCGTAATCTTACAGTGTAGTGTGGCTTGCTGAAAGGAGAGTTCCATTTCAACCCTCTTCTCATTACTTAATCTGATCTGCGTTCGTCCTCTGTTTTATGCCTTCATGGCCGGTCCCTCCTCATCATCACTCTTACCCGCAGACCAAAGAACTAGCAATACTGGCATCGCAACCCTTGCTCTGGGCCGTTAACCTCCTTCATTGGCCCAAGGGAAAAGGCGACTCTGTAACGGTCATGCCTGCTTCCGTGGAATCGACAAAGGACTCAGTCACGGAAGGCCAATCAGCCGTTCACTCTGATCGAACCAAAGATGCTACACACGGCCTGGATTTATACCTTTTCTGCAATCACCCCCCGATCGCATACTACAAAGCTATGGTAACGGGTTTCCAGCTGACCGCGCTGGGTTATGTTCCGTCTACTCTGTGAGACAGTGAGATCACTTTCTGCCCATAACGCAAGTTGAAGTGCGTTACCGGCGTCCTCGCAAGTGCTTGCCTGCAGGCTACGGTTGAACGACCTTGTCTTGCCTCCGCGAGTGTCGGATGTTTGCGCCAGCCTCATTGGTCCACAAGCCCTTGCCTATATTTCTCGGCCAGTATCCATGCACTCCTTGTCCTCTTGCAACCTTGTTCTGGGCTTACCACGGCGCTTGCCATACCGTTTCCTTGCTGCTGAAGCAGACTTCTACTCTTCCCATATGGCTTCCCTTGCTACTCGCCGTTCAAGTTGTTGGTGTTTCTTCTGTTCCGTTATAGCCTGCTCACGGATGATACCATGGAGGGATGCCCCGGATGGTCCAAACACCTTAATGGCACAGCATTAGCCATTCAGCCGAGACTGCTATGATCTTAGACAGATCAATATAGCCCTGTCGTTACAGGTCGACAATCAGAGCCAGCACATATAACGGTGTGGCTCAGCTGTGCCTTCCGTCGTCGACCGTCCCCCATTATACATACCAGAGGCGATTAGTTGCGGCTTGCCTCTATTTCGGGGACTCTTTCAAACACGCCCCCAAAGGGCTCGCCTTACCGAGTAACCGTAGTCAGGTACCTGGTCCTCTGACACTCCATACCCAAATTCTGGCCAATTTTGTTGTGGCTTCCCGTGCGGACCCTGTCTGTATTTGGAGCCTGCCTCGACCCTTCTCCGTGTGAATCGGGGGCTTCGCCGGTATTAATCCTACACCTGTCCTACCAGCCAAACAGACATCAAAGAGAAGGCCTTATTATTTTCACGGACACCCCACAATATTTTGAACGTTCTGGATCTGGCTGTCCTTGACGAGGATCTTCAAGGACGATGAACAGCATCCTAGAAGGATTTTGACGCCAACCGTTCTTAGACACTCTTGCCAAACACCCCCCTCTTTATCTGTCAACGAGAGACCATCATTGCCCAACCGACTACAGCGTCAACAAGGGTTTGTTGGAGCATTTACTAGTAAATCGGTGGACTAGTAAATCGGTGGACTAGTAACCGTCTCACCAGCCGGTTTACTCATACCACTGCTTCGTTTTGATCTTCATTTTGACTGGTCAAATCTAGAGTTTTGGTACAACACACCCTACCCAAACGCTGTACACACGACGAGCACTTCTTCACCCCGTTCCCCAGAGCTTTCTGTCTCGTTTAAACCAGCAATAACCTAGCACCACGGGTTTGGATCCCAAGATCGTCGACACAATCCCATGATCACTTGGTCCTTGAATCATCCCAGCTTAGCACTAGTCTTCAGCAACATCGAACCTTCAGGATAGCAGTTGCCATCGCGAAGCAAGCAGACATCGATGTACGCTTGGAACTTCTAAAACCAGCACTATCAGCCTAACACCGTTGACTTCGCTCGCTACATCAACCTTGTTTAAGGCTCTCCGAGAAACAGAAATTGGCGTATCGTGCTTCCCGTGGCACAATAAGGACCAACAGCGATCTCACCAACGAGCCATAGATTTGTCGCATACTCAGGGAGATTTTGTCATTCCAATGCTCGTTACGTCCAGACAAGGCGCTACGGAGCAAAGTTCTTGGTCTATCAGCAAGTTCGGAACACCTTATTTAAGGTCGGCAGACAGTCTACGTATGTCGAACTTTGACCCTGTGACGCAGTCGGACTGGCAGAGCCAGTATTCGTTCCTTCCGCCAGGCGACAACAGTCTCTTCTCGCAGTCATACGAACACGTCTCAAGCTCGACAGACAATGCGAATTCCCAAGCTCAACCGCGATCCGTGGTTGGCCCAGGCAGTCCTCTAAAGGTCGAACCGCCCAAGCGGGTTATTTCGCCATTAGGACACAGAGCCGATCCTCTAGGTCTGCGGCAACCGAAGCGGCCATCCCCAGTTGTTGAGCAGGTAGGAAATCACAGCGAGTTGTACACTCAAAAGGCTTCTGAGACGGCACACGGAGGATCCCATATGTCGACAGAAACACCTAATATTTCGCTCGGCTCCCATCCACTAAGCTCGGTCTCTTCAGCCGCGCACGAACCAAAATCATCCACAGCACAGTCAGTGAATGAAGCTCAGTCGACGATCAAAGATGAAGATGACGATGTGTTGGATGATGAAGAAATGATAGATGGCGATGTGGAAGAAGAGCCTCAGGCGCAAGCACAGCCGCAAACAGCAGCGGAGAGAACAGCACAACGCCGGAAGATGAAGCGGTTCAGGTAATCCAGACTGCAACTCGCAAGGCATGGAACCATATACTGACATGCGCAGGCTCACCCACCAGCAGACACGATTCTTAATGAGCGAGTTTGCTAAACAGCCCCACCCTGATGCCGCGCACAGAGAACGACTTTCTCGAGAAATACCCGGCTTGAGCCCTCGTCAGGTACAAGTCTGGTTCCAGAATCGGTAAGTTTCTCGATACAGAGCCAATAGCTCGGTCCGTGGGTTAACCAATTGCCAGGCGAGCAAAAATCAAGCGCTTGACAGCGGACGAAAGGGACCGTGTCATGAAAATGAGGGCGGTTCCCGACGACTTCGACAATGTCCAGGCACTTCATGCCCCTTACGGAGCGGTTCACGGTCTCGGGACACCCTTGACCTCGCCCGTTGATTTTGCTGCCTCGTCTTATGCAGACCACATGATGAGACCGCTTATGGTGGACGTGCGGCGATCTGATACCGATGACCATCTCTCATCGACCGGTATGAGCCCAGCGTTCGGAAGTATAGGCTTCAATCCCTCGAACTCGCTCAACAACCCAGACACTCTATCACCAATGTCGCCCCCTTCTACCGATAGATACGGATACAGTAACCATCTCTCGGCGTCGTTGAGTGCTGGAGCACGGTCGTTAAATCCATTTGCACGACAACCTGGACTCGGCGCGAGCGTACATATGCATAATCATCATTCACAACACCAAATACGCACATTACAACCTCTTCAACTTCAAGAGACCACGAATAGGTCTCGCGCCGAAACACTTCAGTCTCCACTACGAACTAGTATGTCATGGAAAGGCGAGTCCCTTGATTATACAACCTATCACGGTAGCAACACTTCACCCCCAATGAATAGCAGGCCGCAAAGCCTGTACCACCAGGATCATATGAACAGTACCTCCACATCTAACTTGGGAAGCTATGATCCAACTCACTATGCGGGTAAGCTGTCATTCGATTGAGTCTTACTCTTCTCATATCTAATGGCTGATCAGCTTCACATAGGATCGACCGCCCAGTCGCCTACTCACTTGAGTTATCCCAACTATCAGTCATCTAGTCTTCAAAACAACTCTCGCAGAGCCTCGCGCTTGAGTGCTTCCTCGGCATCCCTGCCTTTTGGTCTCGATCTACGAACGCAATTTCGCTCGGCTGTAGGAGCCAACAGCTTACAGTCAACAGCACATTCGCCAACTTCTACCCGTGCATCGTCTACTGCTCAGCTAGGCAGTGGCGGCGCCTCTTCAAGCTACTCTGCGTCAAGCTTTCCTTCCGCACCCCTCTCCGCGCCCGCCGATTACTCCATTTCCCGTACATCACCTTACAGGCCACCGCCACCGGCAGGGGCAACAGACTATGCCATCCCGCAGATGAGCGCCCCAATTGCCCTTCCCAACGACTTCTCGCAAGCGTTTCAGGCCAGCAGCATGTCTAATGGTGGAGGAAGTTCGAGGAATACGCAGTCATTGAGAGATAATTTTGGTGCGAGTGTCTTGGGGCTAGGTCAGGGTCATGGTCATAACAATCCGGCAAGCCACCGCACCACCGATGACTATTCTATGAATGACCCCTTAGGCATGAAGCGGAAGCGGAGTTATTCTGGAACGGCGCCTGCGGGCGCTGGTGCACAGGGAATCGGCGCATATGGGGCGGCGGTTTGAATATTTACGACATGCAGACACTTTTCCTTTCTTCTTCCGAATCGACGTGGACGACCATATATACTTTAGAATCGGGTCAGTCTTTATGGGTCGCTGCTGCGGTTTTGTTGTTTTTGACCAGAGAGTCGGGTGGCAATTTGCTTTTGAGTAGTACGTGGAACATGTTGACGATTGGTTTGTTGTAATCGTGGCATTTGATATTCACGGTAACTGGAAAGACACTTCGGCTTGTTTGTCCCATGTCTCGCTGGCATCATTATTTATATACCAGGGCGGACTTGTGGATGCTTTCACGAATCAGTTCCCTTGTTTTGTTCTTTTAAGATTGTCTTTTGGATTCTCTCCACCATTTTTCGCAATATGTATGAGCTTGGTATTGAGTGGCCCTCGCGGGGTGGCAAGGTTTACGACTGCCGTGGATTTCTCGAGAGGGTATTTTTCTCAAGAGCTATCCTTTGAGGTGACCCATATGGAGGAGTCAGTAGCATCTTGGGCGGTTGGGGGTGGTGGTAGCAGCAGGGCTTAAAACTCGGCGTAAGTGTATTCGAAGGCTTGTGCCTTACAGGTACTGTACTAGTTTTAACCTAAAAAGCACTGCACTGGTTTCCACGCAAGCCTAAGTTTCAATGTTTGACTTTACTAGGGCCCTTGACTGCTCTTTTACTAGTATCAAGAATGTTTGTACTCACCCATGGCCAGGAATTTTACCGGCATCTAGGGGTCGCTCACTATTGCGACGATTATCTTCTCTTTCTTTGATCCACTTCGGCACCCTACACAAGCCGAAAGACGAACGAACGAATATACCGGCAACGCCCGTCGAATCAATGAGCTAAACAGAACAGCTCAAAGGATTGTATGTTTTCCCGTGTTGGTCGCTGGCCGGAGCCAACTGGACATCGAGTATCAAATTATCTCCATTTCTTTCCTTTTTTTTTTTTTTTTGTTTTGTTCCGGACAAACACAATGCGATATTCGCTCTGCCGGTGTTCTTCTCGGTTTTTTTTTTTCCCTTCCTTTGGCGATGTAAGGAAACGTAACAACGTCCAGGATAGCAGCGCGAGAATTCTCAAACAAAGTCAAGAACCCAACTTGGCTCCCTTGATATACATATGGTTATGGCTCGCCAATGTAACGTCTTTGTTTCGTTTCATTTTGGCCTCCATATCATGCAAGGGCTATGCATGCCAGGTACGAACGGCTTTGTGAGGGGTGATGGTACTCTTGCTGTTTTGGTAATGGAGTCGGATGCTTCCTTCCGTTCAAACTACGGACTTCGAGGATGAGAGCTTATGTTCACGACGGGCCATCGGGCCAACGGTGTGTGTGTGTTTGGATAGCGAGTGATTTGTTGTTGGGGTGGGGGTTGGGGGGTGGTTGAGAGGAGTAGGAACAGACATCCAGAGGCAGTGCGGGCAGATGACAAACCGTCCCATCTGACGATGGCTTGTCTGCCATGATTTCATTCCGTTGCCGTACCATAGGTGATCTGATGACCTGATCTTCCATCAAGAAATCTTTTTTATTTGAACTCTTTTCTTTGTTTCAATTCAAATCTTTTTTTTTTTTTTTTTTTTTTTGTAATTGGTTTCTGCTAAGAAGACATTTTTACACTCGACACAGCTGCCCGAGTGGAGAGGAGGAGAAAGAGGGATCAAAACGGAGCAAAGGCAAGAAGGAAAACAAGATGAGCTGGGGTTGAAGTCAGATCACATTTGTTTTTTGGAATTTGAATACGTAACTGCCTGGTACGTTACGGAACTGCAATCCAACTCTGAGGCATCCTGTTCTTCTTTTGGCCGGTCAGCTTGCGACGGCTTCATCTCGGAGGAAATCAACCGCTAAGAGCCCCCCCCCCCCCCCCCCCCCCCCCAAAAAAAAAAAAAAAAAAAAAAAAAAAAAAAAAGGGGGGGGAGCGCAGGCGTTATTCGGCAATGCTGTCATTTCATTTCATCCGGTGACGCGACACCATGAAGTAGCAGGGAGCACTTGCGACCAACAATGGAACGGCAACGAAAAGCGACGTATTCCTTCACTTCTGTTATTAAGTAGCTAAAGGACACTGGAAAATTCCGTGATTTGTGCACATACTGTGCAGATGATACAATACGATGTTGGTTTGTTTGTGACTTTGGTTCGAGCAGGGTAGGTTTGGAGTTCTTCATGGTCTTCCAGAAGAGGGAGGGTCCTCTGTTTGAAGCGATGTAGAACAATGGCAAGAGTTGTAACGCTACAGAAGTCTCTAACGAGTGTGCTCTTATACCTCTCGCCGTTTGCTTCGGTGCCTTCAAGACTTCAAGACCTCAGTTTCACAGCGTTTTCCCTGATAGAAAGCCGAAGGCTTTACTATATTCAGTAACGCTTTGACTCTTTGTGCCAGCCTAACAAACAAACCAGGACTGGATTGTACACGCCATATCCTCTCAGCTCAAACAAGCATTGCACTAGCAAGGGCAGGAGTTGGATTGGGGAAATATGCGTTGGATCTGACGTGCCTGAGAGCTTGCTAGAGGTCAAGGGTCTGGGGAGCGTGTGATGGAAACCCGGGAGGAGGGAGATAAGAAGAATGGAAGGGTCGCAAATGTCACACGACGATTGGGAGTTGGGGTACATAGCTGTTTGTGTGGCATGGGTTCTTGCTCCATCCCTTACAACCAGCGCAAACCTGATCTTGGGCTTGATGTAGTCGCCATGCGGCGAGGAAGAAAAGGAAACAGTAAGCGGGACATTCCGCGGACTCTGGAAAGCTTCCATTCCGGAAAGCAGCATGCCAGCATGCCTGGCGATACCACTCTCTCTTGTGCCATTTGTTCGCAGCTGATTGTGATTGAATCTCTCGTGTCGCGATTCTTCCAGTGCTCTTATGGATAGATGCCTGCGGAAGATGCGGAATGCATGCCTAAATTTGGTGCCAGAAGTTCCAAACGACTTCATGTTGCTGCATCATCTTTGTTTTCCAGAAAGCCTGGCATGTAGACGACGATAAAACACCCATTGGCGGGTTGCGGCAGCCCCGATCGGAGTTTTATGATCATTCGTATGAGCACAGCGGAATGAAACATCAGAGCCATTGATAGGTTACTCTGCAAAAGAAGGTTTTGCGGAGTATGTCACTGCAGCACCGACGACTTGTTGCAACCACAGGCTGCTGGCTCACTCCGTCGATGCGGGACAAACAAGGTTGTATGTCTCCTGGGTCAACAGATTATGTCCGGTTCTTGATCATAGCTGCTGGTCCTTGACTGAGGCTACGGGGATGTAGTTCATGTCGTTATATTGAGAATCCGGGGAAGGTGGCAAATCTCCTGGTCTTCTCAGATTTTGGACGGGTTAACCGATACCGCAAATGCGACGTGGGCGGTTGAACCCGAAGTCAGGGTTGATGAGGCAGTGGGCCACCGCGACCAGTTTTGATCTACTTTTTGTCGTTCCCTCCGAAGGATCGGGAGAGCCACTGTCCAGCTCTGATTCTGATTGTCGGACGGGCCACTGTTGAGCAGGGCCTATTTCTTCAGCTTTGTGAGTTGTCGAGATACACAGAAACGGCTATCCTCATGTGCGTACTGGCTCGCTGAGGAAACTAAGGCGTCTCTGCAAGCCCGTTGGCTTGATTCGTGTGACGAGGACGGGGCTGGTCCATGGATGTGGTGTCCTGTAGGTGACAAGCTGCAGAAAACATGGCATGGGCATGGCATTTGTGTGGCCTATCTTGCATCTCACTGTGGGCTTTGCAAGCACCAAAGGGTATGCCGTGTCACCGCTCGGAATGAAGTTTGGCAAGACGAAAAAGATGGGGCCGAAGTGAAGGGGTCACTCGCTGGTATCCGGCAGAAAAGGGAGTGGTGAGAATCGATTGGTCCAGAATGGCGCTGTAGTCAACCAGATGGTCCCCACGGGAGGACTTGTTACACTGCTACACCGTTTCCTCAGCCAAACTCGACGACGCTCAGCCATGTCTAACAGGTAGGGTAACATGGCGAGAAGTACTGTGGACGACCGACATAAAGGATGGGGTCAGGTTGCACAACATGGCAGGGCCAGCTCCAAGAGCAATCCGGGCCCAGGAGCGGAACGAAGAGCATGCCAAACCGAAGCCTGAGACGGCACATGAGCGTAGTGGGTAGCCGTACCCAGCGCATACTGCCGCTGCCACTCCAAAGACAGCGGTGCGATTATCGTTCAGGGGTAGAGGTTGATGAGGCTTCCGAGGTGGCGGGCCAGGTGTGCAACAACAGAAGAGTCTGGAGTCTGCTGTATGTCTCGTACCGTATGGGCATATGGAATGAGGATCCGGACCGTACGAAAGCTACCTATCGCCTATCGGTACTTGAAGAGACGCGGCCGCTGAGTGAGGAGCTGAAGACGGCATGGCTTGACGGCAACGGTTGCCGATGAGCTCGGAGCGAGGGTTGTTGGGTTCATAAGGGCCAGTGGAATGCGGCCGGTGCTGGCTGTCGTCGGGCTCTGGCGCGGGGATCATGTCCGAAGTCCATGAGCGCACTCCCACCCTACTACGGCAGTGGTCGATATGGCTGCCGTGTGGCTACTGTGGCATGCTCATGCGAGAAAGGTCGTGTGCGCAGCGGCCATGCCGGCGTGCTGCGCTGGTCCGATCGATTGAAACAGCCGGGGCAGCATGACTACTACGTGAGCCCCGGTGTGGCTGGAAACGATACGAGGTGAATTTGCCGTCGATGTCCGCTGTTGAACGTACCTTAGTGTCCAGGAAGAGAATTATGCCGACTGGCTCAAAGAGGAAGGCGACAGGAAATATTTGGGTGGAAAGCCAAGATGACAGTGGATGGATGAACTGCTCAATGCAAACACACGGCACCGAAATTGAAGACGGGAGCCGAGTGTGATGATGTTGGGAAGGAAGCCGGGAACCAGTCAACGGTTCGACTGGACGACAGTCGATGGAAGACGGGAGGAAAGAGGGTCACTGCAAAACCGAGCGGTCGCTGCCCTCAAGTTGCTCAATATGGCACTTGTCATGTCACTTCAGGTTAGTAGTCATTGCCCTTTGTTGTTGACCGTCGTTGACATTGTCACGGTTGCACTTCCTTCAACCCTGACGGCCCGGGGCCGATCTTTCGGAAAGAGCCAGAGACGACGACAGTCATATGCGCACAGACCATATCTTCCTAGTGTACATACTACATGTGTACATAGTATGTGCCTAGCCCCACTTGTCCATTTGATGCGACCCGCATAGACTCTCCAGCCGAGAGCTGGCACGCATTTGGCATGACGCAAAGCCGTGACCTGACCGGCATGGCATCTCGCTGTGAACGATTCAGTTCTTCCCTCATCCACTGCATCACGGCCTTACTGCTAGCAACAGTGGCATCTCCAACGATTCCTCTACTGACCTACCTGAACGTCATTTCTCTGACCACGTCACGTCAACGGCAATCAGGCGACAAACAGCCCGAATCAGTGGACGGCCTCGCTCTCGCTACCCGAGTACCTGGCTTGGCGGAAACCACCTACCGGTTATAGTTGAGGCAGGTCGAGGTATACATATGATGGATAATATGGGATACAAAGTCCTCATGGCTCAACTTGGGTCGGGTCCTGTGCTTGTCTCCGCAGTGTCTGTCCCCCGCTATGCAAGTGCAACGTCGCCGAGTGACGGCGGTCCAACATCCTCATCACAGACACTTCCAGGCTCAGCTCCTCGCTCATTACCATAATCTCGGACTGTTCTCCCCCCCCCCTCGATAACTTGTACTGGATTTCGTTCGGGTGCATTATCTATGGGCCGAACCGGTGTTGCGCCATCCGAGTTGCCCTGACTGGCGGGACCATCATACAAGAACAAGATGATGTCGACCTCTCTCGCTCTCTCTCGTCTCGTATCCGACACTTTCAACCTACCCATGTCGGCCATTACCAAAGCCCACCTCCAGCGTTTCCGTGGCCATCTCATGACCAAGAGGGGTGTACATATGGGTCTGATCAATGTACTCTACCTTCCGGCTAAATTACTGTGCCTGGCTGAGCGTCATGGGCTGTCACAGGCGAATCCAGAGCTCTTGGGACATCTGCTCCACCCTTGACAGATTAATCTATCTCTCAAGTTGGAGGAACTCAAGAATTAGGGTCATGTTCACCTCCTAAGCCGTCGGAATCACCAGACGCCAGGGCTGGATGCCTGACGCCGCAGGGCATTTGGCGTGAGCTCCAAGTTCTGACCCTGACCAACATGTACGGATGGGCCACGGATTCGGTCCAGGTACCATGGCGTGGGCGTCCACAGTCGTTACCACTACTCGGGATATTATTGCTGGGCGAGAGAGGTCTGAGATGTCTAGACATGCCAACGTCTGGTGTTTAATTGCGTTGGGGGCTTCAATGTGTATTGGATGGAGATGTCCTCTAAATGCTCCAAAGCAAGGGCAGTCAACCAGATCTGATGTTGAGCGTCAACCAACCGCTCTCTCTTTCTACCAGCCGCTGCGGCGTTTGGAAAGGCACGGGACAGGGACCAACATCCCGGCTTCCGGTGATTACATAGCGATAAACAACAGTTTGCCTCTGACGCCACAACCCGGCTTCTCCGTAGCTCAACACAACCAAGCAATGGCCTATTCTATGTTGGTCGCCCGAGTGTCGGTCTCTCTCCGTGATCATCCGGGCCGTTTGTTCTTAAACGTGCGAACATGCATGGAGCGGCTGGCTGACCAGGAAATCCACAAGAAGGCGACGCTAGGAAGCAAATGCATTGCATCTCGCTAGGGCCGTGGTGTTCATTGTTGTTGGTACCGATGCTGTTGAGTAGAGGTTGCATTAATCACAGTAAGTCACTCCATGTGGCTGTCCAGGCAGGTCGAGAGCGGCGTCCGGCAAGCATATACCAACGGTAGTTGGACGAACTATCGATCTCGCGACCATGGGCAGTCATGAAGGGAACTAATGCGGAGGGAGAGGGAGTAGGTAGGTGCTTTCACGCTCGAGCTAACAGAAAGTCCTCGATAACCAGCACCCATCCGACGAAAGTCCTATTGGCTTTTGAGACGGCTAACAAAATCTTGAACTAGGACAGTTGAATGCCAGTTTCAAAGGAATATGATGCGGGTGCTTGCTTCTGAAGCAACTGAAGGCTTAAGTTAAGGAGAGTTATGAGCCCATATCCACAGGCTAGTAATAACCCTTCTATCTAGATATAGTGTATCTGATACCCGACCTCTCCAACTGGAAAATGGCATCCTTTGCGTAAATTTTTTTTGGTTCCCTCTTGAACTGTCCTTTCGGTCAGATCCCGTGGCTCTGGGAGCATTAAAATGGATTAACAAACACAAAGCCAATCCTGTCGCGATCCAGTGGTTGGCCTTCGTTCTTTACTTTCTACGCGAGCCGCGACTTCCACACACCGCTGGAGTCCCTTCGTTAGCGATCCCGCCATGTCAAGCCGTCTGTACACCAGACTCGTGATGAACAAGAAGCACAATCATAGATGGAATTAGACTGAAAGTAGCTTGCCAATGGTTTTCGAGAGCGCTATCATTTTGGGAGTCGCATGGTTGAGTTGATAGTAATAATGTCAGCTAAGATTGTGTTTATATTGTTCGATGACAAGAGACTTCTTGTGCGTTTTGATGAATCCAGAGCAAGGTAATGGTACAAAGCGCCCAACCTATCCTTGATGTTCTATAATCTCGCTCTTAGGGAAGCGTTCCGAAAATTCCTGCTCTGTAAGGCGAGAAGAGAAGAGGGACGCTAAACAAACTGTCACGAATTACCTCAAGACGACTGAACCACAAGAGTGCACCCGCCACACGACCACCCGATTGACAATCCTCCAACGGCACTATGAATTCCCCATACGGAAAGAATGGATTACTATCCATACCTAGCTCTGTAAGATGGGGAGCAGAGGGCAAGAGTTAACCAAGGTCATATGCGCAAAGGAGAGAAAGAGGAAGGAACAACTAAGAAAACAGCCAAGTTGGGGGTACGGGGAAAGAGCCAAGGGGTTCGAAACAAGAACGCTGCGAGAGCAAGGAGACAGGGAAAGGAAAAACAAAAAGAGATAGAAGAAGGAGAAGAAAAAAGAAAGCCTTGATGGGAGGTTTGTTCAAAAGACAACTTGACTTTTCACTCAAGTTGCTTTCCCACAGGAAGTACGGAAGGGAAAATAACAGCCGGCCGTTGAAGCACATTGTATTGATGAGCCCTTCGGCAGGGTATCCGTAGTGGTAGATACTCGGATGAGGGATGGGTGGACCAGGTTTTTTTTTTTTTTTTTTTCTTCCAGAAGCTACAACGGGTAGGTAAAATCAGGGAGGTACTGAAACTGAGGTGACAAGCTCCCATCTGCCTTCAAGATCGGGATGAATGAAGTGGATCAAGTGTGAGCACACGTGCCACCATCAGCTACAAGAAGGCAAGCATGCCGATCCCAGTTGCTTGACTAGCTCTGTTCGCGTCCGTCAAAGCCTGGAATTCTGTCCGGAGGCATCGCGGCCTTTGAAAACGCAAAGCAAGTGGACATATAGACGAGTGGTTCGAAGCTACCATGCCTAGCATCGTGAAGAAAAGAAAACTTGACAACTACCGTACCCAAAGAAGAGTTGTCTTAAGTGAGGCGAATGAGTAGTCATTACTATTTAGATATATATATACATGCGGTCCAACGTATATGTACACGGCGATCTCTATTGATCACCTTTCTTCATGTCTCTTCTTTCCTGGAATCACCGCCTTTTACAACTCCATATCGTTCAAGGAGAACCCGATTACCTATTACCCAAATTCTTTCCATCTAATCGATCATCTCTCTGCTATTCCACTGCCTCCTGGCCTGATGATGCCCTCTCCTATGCACCTGCCCCTGACTCTGCCGCTGCTGAATGTCATCGACCGTCGTGCTACCCCTGGGCAACGAGCCCTTAACATTTTTTACTGACAATCCCAACTCCGCAACTCCTCAGCGCTCATCTCACCGGCCACCTTCTTAGACCTTTGCTTTTTCCCTCCGCTCCCGAAGAGAAAACACCACCGCCCTCACCACCCCCACTACTCTCCTCACCCATGTCCCCTTCTTCCGTCCTCTCCTCCTCCTCCTCCTCCTCCTCCTCCTCCTCAACGCCACCATAACTGCCCCCGACACTCTCCATAGTGAACGGACTAGCCGTCGGCCCATCCAAGACCGCCAACTCCTCCTTACTCAACCACCTCGGCAACAACACCGCCCTAACCGGAATCAGCGCAAAGATAAACACTGGGAACCCAACCGCGGCAACAGTCTGGGTGATAGCAAACGTCGCTCCAAACGCTATGAGCTCGATAATCACAAACAGCCAAACCCGGCTTCTTCGCCGGGCCTTATTGTTAAGCGGATGGTTGGGGTTGGTGAGCCGACTATCTTTAAAGAGGAAGATAAGCTTCTGGGTGATTCCGTTCCCCGCCAAGGCTTGGTAGCCCATGATAAAGAAGAGGCCTGCTAGCACGCCTTGCGGGATTAGATGTAAAACGACGAGGAGGGGACCAGTCATGGTTCCCAAGGTGAGCAGACCTTGGGCAAGGTTGGAGACGCGTTGTTCGACTACGGAGATGGGTTTGAATTGATATGACTCCGAAGGATGGCCCTTGGATTCAGAGGAGTCGACGTCGGTGTCATCGTTTGTGGCGACTTTGGTGACGCACAAAGAGGCAGTGTGGAAGGGTGCTTGCGGAATGAGGCCGTTGGGAAAGGGGATGCCGAGTAGGCCGGAGACGCCGGTGGTCAGGCCGAGGAGAAAGAGATCCCAGTGGAAGCCGGCGGGCTTGCGGAGGGGGAATTCAGTGCCTTGGGCAATGAGGGAGGAGACTGTGTTAGTTTGTGGTGTTAGCATAGATAGATTATTAAGTGGTTGAGGGGAGAAAGGCATCTACCCACCATTATGATCAAACCAAAAGAGAATTGTCAACAGCAAAGCAAACGGGACAGCCAAGAAGACATGTCCCACGGGGATATCCCAAAAGTGAATAAACCACCCTCTGATCCAGCCATTCTCATGCGGCGTCGGGAAGAACGCCTTGCTAACCTCCAAGTGCTCCAAATGGATATGCTCCAGCTTGCCAAAGTGGACAAACCCCGTGAAGAACACCACTGTCAACGGCGTCCCATAATCCTTTAAAAAGACGCGAACGGTATGATTAAACAGGCTGCTACCGCCCAGTTCACCACAGATGTACGCGATAGCGAAGACGCAAAGCGCTACAACAACCGATAGATAAAACGGCGCTGCATCTCCTAGCCGCTGCAGCACCTGAACCCCCTTCTGCAGGTATATAAACGCCACATAAAACCCAAAAATATCGCACGGAAACCTCGTGACGTAGCGCAGCCAGTTGCACGAGTTGGTGACAGCCAAAATCCAGTGAAACACCAAGGACCAGAGACCGATCCAGCACATGAAGGCCATGTAGTTGGTCCCCGTCGGCTCCATGATGTCGTAAACGGTATAGTTGAAAACCGTGATCGGCCCCGTGACACCTACTATGACGAGCGGTTG